AACAAAACAACAAACAAAAACTTGTCTCGTTTGACTGAAAAATGAAATAAAACAATAAAAAAGTTTTTTTGCGTTTGACTGTTTACGTGTTTTTATCCTGAAATGTCATCATATCACTTATTGTTTCCGTTATATTCGGAGTCATTTTATCCGAACTACTTTCATAGTCATATAAAATTCTTTGAAATAACAACTATATATGAGTGCTTTCAATCGGATATTCAACGTCAAAAACTTGAAAGATTTTGAAACATAAGTCTATAGCTTTTAGAGCTGACAATACCTTGTACAAAGTGTCATCAACTGATATAAAAATATCAGAAATATCCGCTTTGGATAGACCGACAGCGATAATAAAAGGCTGTAATGTAATTCCTAAATCCGCGGCTGCTTTTCTCTTTTCTTCTTGGACTTTTGTGATGTCTGCTATTAACTGCAAAAAATTATATTATAGAAATCAGTAAATTTATACCAACGAATATTAATTATCATACTTACAGTAGTTGTAATAATTATGCTATCTTTACATTCAGGTATCGATGGTTTCCATTNACTTTTTTTCAGACGGGTTCGGCTTTTAGGTAGAAGTAAATGTGGAAGAAGTCTCAGTTGCAAAATAATTTTTGTATCTATTTGATCAAATGATATAAATTACACAATGTGAATATAATATGTATTTATTTTTAAGCAAATACACGTACTATCTGTCAAATTGTCGCTTTGAATCAGCGTTAGCAAAGCTTGCGCATTGTTATCGTCTTTCTTCGGTGATCGAACAGCTAAAATTTTTGCAAAAAACTTTTCCCAACTTTCTAATGTTAATTCTTGCGTTGGCAATTTTAGATAAGAATAATCTTCTTCAATTAATGTATATGCATTGGGATGTTTGAGAACGGGCCAACTTTCAAAAATTTGACACAATTTTAAATCACGGTTTGATTTTATACTTTTTCGTCGATATTTAGCCGTAAGTTTCCAATTTTTACCAACAATTTCCTATGGCATTGAATGACTTTGCAACCATGCTTTAGCTTCGAGAATAACTTCTGTAAATGATAAAAAACTAAGAATGTAAACATTTAAAAAATTTAATAAACAGAATGTAATTGTTTGAGTTTATACATATGTATATATTTAAAAAAAATTGCAAGCAACCTTCATCAGAGAATGAGTCCGAATTGTCGGTTCTATGATCGGATAGATCGTCTACTGATGATTTATACTCATGAATAAGTTTCAAAGCGCGTAGTTTGTTTCGATATTTGTTCACTAGTTTTCCACGTGAAATTATAGATTTTCCAATTCGCGATAATTTTTTCGGAATTGGCGGAATATAGTACGTAGGTATACACAGTTTGTCCGGAAAGTTCCCGGACTACGTGAATTAAAAATCGAAAATGAAAGATATGGTTTATTAAACAAGTTTACAC